TGAAAATTAAAATCAAATTTTTAATCAATCTCATTAAAAGTTGATAGAAAATATGATTTTAAAATTGCGAGCACCATGGGAGGAGATAGGGGTGGGCCGTAGCCCACCCTTGCCCAAGGCCAGCCTCTGTAAAAAACAAAAAATTTTGGTTAAAGTATGGGGCCAGGCTAACTTGGAGATCAATTTAAATGATATCAGATCTTTTGCTAAACTTATTTTTTGATTACCTCCGTATCATTGTTTTAGTCTTTTCATTTTTATTGTAGACAATATTCTATAAATTTCAGTTCCATCATCGTTGACAAGTTCCATTTTAGGATAATCAAATGGAGAATGCAACTCAAGTAGAAGACAAAAAGTCCGAAGATATCTCAGAAAACACCCCTGACAAGAAGCAAGAAAGCCTTGAAGACATGCTTTTTAGGCACAAGTACTACATACGTGTCTAACCTGTATCACTCATTTCTTATGTTAAATATTGCGCTTCAGTTTGAGTGTTGATGAGCGAGTTTGATTTGATTTGCGTTTGGGAAGATTTGGTAGCCATCTATCCTTGCACCCTTGTTGCTAGTGGGACAATAATCCAATTGCCAATAGATGAAAAAGAGAATATAAAATGCTATTTTAGTCTGTCGATGTAAAAATAGAAACGGTTGAACAATCGTGAATCATATTAGCATTCTAATGCATTCAGGTAATGAAATTTGTTAATATTTCCATATTTATTTAATGAGTTGCAGGAATGAGACAATGGATCTACAGAACAAAGAAATTGCAATGAAAAAGGCAGCAAGGCTAAACAGAAAGCTAAGAAGAAACAAGTTGATGAAGATATATCTAAGCTTTCAACGACACACGCGGAGGAACTGGCTTCTATAAGATATAGCAGTGCTGCTGAGAATGGAAGAGGAAATCTTGACAATTTGGTAAAGGCCATTGCTGGGTTTCAGTCACCACTCAAGCTGAACATTCAAAACCTAGCAAGGGTGTCAAGCGGCGTGAGAAAAGATCTCAATAGGAAGCTGCTAGAGAACAAAGAATACAAGAAGAGCAGAGCAAAATGGTAAATGACCTAATGATTGAAAGCGAGAAGTTAGAACAAAAATTGGAACCCCTTGGATTGATAATTAATGAATTAAAGTCTAATGGGCACTGCTATACCGAGTTGTCAAGGATCAGTTGGCCCTTCTCTCTAGAGGTTCTTCTCCAGGGACAAGCAAATTTTCTACAAATACACTAGCCTCTTCTTTACAAAATTCACAGCAATCAACATCGTCATCATGTCAAATTTTGTTAAATTGATCACAAAGTGGGGAAATTCGAGACAAAGAAGGTGAATGGTTTGTCTAGCAACAATTTCAGCCAATTCAACAATACGTCAATACCCAAACATAGCCAATTGCAACTCAACAATTTCAGCCATATCT